AATTTAACTCGGCACAAATGTTTAATAATAGTCCTAGAACTGAGAGAAACTAAATGAAAATATGCACATCTATCAGTTAAAAAATAATTTTAATTTTTTTTTTTTTTTTTGGATGCCACAATGATTTAATAAAATAAAAACTTTATTAATATCATTTATATAAACTCATACATATAAATAACTCAAGAACTCGTGTTATGGGGGACTGTGAATGTCAACTTTATAAAATTTCAGCTCAATTCATAAAGTTATATTATACTATATAATCATAGACTACAGATCATAGTGCCTGAAAAGATTTTGATGTCTACATAGGTACTTACTTAAAAAAAAACGTCCTATGGTCGTGATACGCAGTTACTGATGTCTTGACTAGTTGGTTTTTCAATATACAACAAAATCGAACGTAAACACTTTAATTAAATATTTTAAGTTTGTAAATAATAGCTATTTATTTTATTTCGAACTAGTTGTATTACCGTGTACAAGTGAAAACGTTATGAAGACTTATATAATTGAATATGGCGAGTGGTGACAGGCGTCAGATTATCAATAAAATAGAGATAAGTTATAATATCTTAAATTCTCAACGTAATTGTGGTTATAAATCGTTTTGATACGCTCTACAAATGGTTATCAGTAATCACTAATCAATGACCTCTTATGGAGGTTAGGTTAACTCTATAACTCTATGGAGGTAATTATTTATACTACATACTAGCACCGGTGAAACTCGCTGTATGTGAATACCCTAGGTCGGTAAAACTCGCTGTATGTGAATACCCTAGGTAGCTGAAAATCGTTTGAAGTGAATTTCCTAGGTCGGAGACAAGACTTTAGAATACCGCAGTTAGAAAAGTCTAGTAGGCGAAACCAGTAATAACGACGTTTAAGACGTTGGTACCTCTGATTTAGTGGTTCTACACACTTTGGCGGTGTCATTTTAAACGCGTAAATAATAATCTTATAATATAATAAAAGTATATTAAAGTCCAATTCGAACGTTTAGTGGTGAGTCATTTCATAAAATTTACAAGTGTAATACACCTTGTCCCGTAGCTTGCCTTGTGGTTTTGTGCATGGAAAATAAAAAATACATTCCGAAGTGGTAATTAAATGTCTAGCTGTCAGTCATCGCTCAGTGAATTTAATCGTATTCGTCTTAATGACGTACCGAGTCTATTATCACGGACACAAATCACGATTTTGCTCCAAACGTATGCGATTAAAAGTATTAAAACGACTCGAGAGCAAGACTCTCGCGATCTGTTTTCGTAATACACGTGAGAATCCGTTAAATCCGACGCGCGTTTCTTTTTTATACGCATAATCGTACTTCGTACGCCGTCGAGACAGTACCGATGAGGTCGCGGAGGCGTCCGAGGGTGGAGACGCCGAAAACAAAACGACGCGTATTCAATATAAAGATAAATGATTTATTAAATTTAAAAAAAAAAACAGTAGTACACACGGGACAATACGATAACCGACCGGAGAACGCGCCGCGAGTACGCGTTTTCCGGACGCGACAGCGACGGCCGCGAACGGAATTCGGGGACGCGCGGCTCGCAAGAGACGCGTTCCGCGCGATCGGAAAACACGCGGACGCGAAAAAGGCGAAACCGATTCGGAGCGGAGAGAAAAACGGGCGACGGACGCGGCCGAGGACCGAATCTGAACGAAAAACGCGTGCGGACGGGACGAAAAAGACCCGCTCTCGGTTACGGCGTAGAGAACGCGACGGAAAGGGGTCTCCAAAGACTGGAAAAACGGGCGAAAAGCGGAAAAAACGGTATAAGAAAAACAAATAATAACGACGGCGGCGGGAGATATCAGATAACGACGATAAGGAAAAAATTTTAATTTTTCGATTAGCCAGTACACTAAAGTACGAGCATTCTAGCGGAACATACGGGAAGCTCGTTTTGGTTTTATATTATAAGAAAGAAGAAGAAAATATGATATAATAGATTCCGTGTTTGTGGAAGCCGCCTTCGTCGTCTTCGTGGTGGTTGGGTGAAATTCGCTGTAAGTGAATACTCTAGGTCGAAGAGAGGACTTGAGAAAAATCGTAGTTAAAAAAGTATAGTTAATATAATAGTGAACTTTCGTAACGAAACCGACGATAACGACGTTCGTAATTACGAAGTTAGTACCACTGATTTGGTAGCTCTACACTTTGGCGGTGTCGTTTTGAACGCGTATATAAAAGTCTATGAAATCTGAATTCGAGATTTGAGTATTTATTAGTCAGTCATCACTGGTGTAAATATGTAATACACCTTGTTCCATAACTTGCCGGATCCTTTTTCGCATAATTAAAATAAAAACATTCCGAAAACGGTAGTTGTGTATCTAGCTATTAATCATCACCCGGTGCATGTCGATACCCGGCTGGATAATTCACCTACGGCGGATTATATGCATTTCCCATAGCTTGCTCGGTGCTTTTGTGTATGGAAAATAAATAAATACATTCCAAAATGGTAATTAAATGTTTAGCTATCAGTCATCATCCAGTGAAAATTGATTCCTTACTGGGCAATCCGCCGTAGATTATATAGGTTATACCTCCTGACACTGAAAATTTTGTGCCGTTCTGTACATAATAAAGTTAAAGTCAAATCAAATGTTTGATTTTCAAGCGATCACCATCGAAAATCCAGTTAAACGCATTTAAACCTCCCAGGTAGGCAATCCGACTGCCTCGAATCGCGGACAATATGGGCGTAAAAGGGAAATTTTAAATGTTTTATAGAAAATTCTGAAAATACATACCAAACGTTAGTAAGTCGCGATAAATAGTCAGTTAAAAATCAAAAAAAAAAAAAACGTATTTAAAATCTTATCTTCTTGATATTTTATAGATAGTCGGAAGTCGAAAAGAAAATATATGCACCTGCTGTGATAACGAAAATTACAATGAATTAACAATAATGTTTAAATTAAACGAATTTAATAAAAAAAAATTGAATTTTATAATTATTGTAAATTTTAATTAATATTTTAATTTTGATTTTTTACATCTTAAAATAATTATAGTTCACTTCAAAATTAAAATATAGTAAAAAGCCCACGAGGTCGTCTAAATAATATTTTTACCTTTAAATTTTATAAGAGGTCGATTCACTCTAATTTTTTATCTAACGGAGCAAAACATGATCTGCTGAGCGTAAAATATACCATGTTACGCATTTGTAAGATGGAGACAACACATGCAGGTATCACGTCCTTTTAAACCGTTTAAGAGTAGCAACGAATATTACATTAAACGTTGTTTAACCAATGCAATTTTTACAATTTGTGTGTTATGAAACCTTAAATTGTTTACTTATTTTCGTTTAGAATGTTTCTGATGTATTCATCTACATTAATTGTTTATATTTCATTTATGTATACATATATATATCATATCACACCAAATTTATACAAAAAACTAAATGTATGCACTATGCACTCATCTGATCAATACAATTTCATATTATAAACAAAACACATAATAGCAAGGTATCATTATGCATAACTGTATTCATAGATAGTTTTAAAATATACTATAACACATAAATTTATATATTGTGTTTATAAGTAGGTATTTATTTGAAAATATAAGACCATATATTTAATTGAATTCATACAAAAATTGAAATTCTGTAGAATTATACTTGAATATTTAATATATATGATACTGTAGGCTATGAATTATACTCTTACTTATTTATACATTGTGTGTATTATATAAGTTTATTAAAATGTACACATTAAATTAAGCAAAAAATTGAATAGTATTGCTCTTACTTGATCAATATAAATTTATACTATTTTTTATTATTCGCCTAATTAAATAATATTATTTCGGGAAAAAAATAATTATTTACAGTTATTACACTACCACTGTATTTCGTGTACAATGTGTGGTTAACTTGTAGCTTATCATAACAATAATATAAAAAAATACTTCGTCATTGGTTATTACTTATTAGTAATTATCAATGAACTATTAACAATTTATTGTATATATTTTTTTATAATTTTTACGCTTTAAGAAAAAATGTATTAGGTGAATAGTTAAAACTTTTTATAAGAGAAACCTAGCATTTTCTTTGTTAATCTGCAACTAGAAAAGAATCAATAGCCATTAAAATGAAAATTACTTTGAATTTTTAAATTTTGTTCATAGAAAAATTACTTTTCAGTTATGCATTTATCACAAACTCTAGGTTGATATTATTAATAAATATATGTACAAAACAGTTATACAAAAAAAACATATACTATATTATTAAAACTTACTGTTCCAATACAAAATATTATGATTTTTAAAAAAGTACTTTATTTAATTTATTTTTATTAATAATTATATAAAAAGATAATATTTATTAACTAACATTTTTTGGAAATAATTTATCTATTTTATTTAGGTAAATAACTTTTATTTCAAAGTATACTAGTCAGTGTCATCAATTTTGGTAACTTCAAAGTATTAATAAATAAAATCTTTTTTTTTTCAGGTTTAAAATCGACGACGAAAAGGGAACAGGTTTTGCAATACTTCTGCGACATCGTCAAAAATAAATAAAATCTACAAGAGTTTACAAAAATACTATATAATTAATAAGAAATAAAATATGTAATAGAAAAATAATTAAAAATATCTATATTATTGTGTACAATAGATATAAAATCAGCAATATTAAGTATATTTTACATACATTTTAATTCATAAATAGTATAAAAAGATCACAGATATTATATCATATAACTCATACAAAACATAAGTATTAAAATTTGAAATTTTTATAATATAATAATATTATAGATTGTCATGTATAATCTTTGATAATAATATAATCATTTAAGTCTTAAAAATTTGATATCATTAAACAAATAAATACGATTCGTAAACAAGTTTTTAAATATAAAGTAAGTGTTCAACTATAATATAACTGTGTTCAATTTAATAAAATAAAATAAATCTTTATTAAATATACAATATAAAACGCTAATAGTACATTGAATACAAAAAAAAAATATATATATATATTTTCTTTGTTTAATAATTAGTTCACAATTAATAAATCCTGTGTCTTGGAACTTTTTGAAAGCAAGAACAATATAATTCTGAAAAAATAAAAATTGTACTAAGTTGATAAATAAAATTTTAGCTAAATACAATATTTCATTACTTATAAAACATTTAAACAAGTAACAAAGAAAGAATAATAAATATACTTAAGCTAAATAAAAAGTTTACATTTACAAGCACTTTGTCAAATTAACCTTAATAGTGAATAGATCAAATTTTACATTAGGGAATCAGTCAGAAATTATAAAAATAGATAATAGCAAGGACAACAATTAGGATAGAAACAATGTGGATTTAATTTAATTCACCTCAAGTGTAAAAAAAAATCTTGATAGTTATTTATATTGAAAATTTAAACGGATAGTAGACAGTCATGAAAGAATAAGTCATCAATTACATTGAAGAATATTTAATGCTAAATTAAATATTTTCATTTACTTTTTTTAACAGGATTTTTCAAAATTGCACAATCATTATGTAAACTAGATTCAACTTCATTATTCAGATAATTTAAAATAAAATTGAGTTGCTGGTAGTAATTAAATAGGGACAATGTTATAACTTATAACTGCCTATAACTATTATAGTACCTGAGAAAACTATAAAAATATATTTACATACATGTTTTTTATGTAAATAATCATAAAGAAAATTATTTATTGTAGACTATTTGAATTGAAAATAACTTACATGTAGAAGCCTAAAACAAATGTGCCAAATACTGCTGATAGGAAAAATATAAAATTGGCAAAGTTATGGATTGTCATATTATACAATGTGGTATATATTGGGGAACCAAGTAATGTACCAAAACCTTCAATCACGCTTATGAATGCATATATTTTACCTGTAAATTATTATAACTATAATAACAAAAATTAATTTTAAAATGGTAATTATTAATTTGTTATTTTCACCTAAATCTTCAGATGGAAAACTCTTGGATAATTGAGATCGAACTAGTGGTTCACTGGTCAATACTACACAACCAAAAATCTTTGCTATATAAAATTGCCATGTATATCGCGAGTACGCTAAAAAAACTTTTTCTATGATTCGTAGTCCTGTAGCAGCAGTAGCAAGATACATGTCTGGTATTTCAAGTTTAGTACTCAATACATACAACCCAATTGCAGGAATACTAGCTAAAATAATAAATAAATGCTTAGTTGATATCTAATAGTTCATAAAAGAAATAAATTACAAACCACTTAATAATGTTGCATAAGCATTAAATAGAGTATAATTTTCTAAAGTCCATGAAAATTGTTTTTGTAGGTACATATACATCAATGAATCCTCGCCTAAAGTAAAGTATAATATTAATATTGAATACAAGAATATTGGATTACATGCGTTTTGATTGGCATTTATAATAAACAACTCATTTTTAAGGGTAAGAATATTTTTTTTTACATTAATTGATGATGAATAAATAAATAAACTAAGTATTTACCCATTACAATGGCCAAATTTAAAGTTAATACCACAGCAGAAAGAATAATTATGCTTCTTAAAAATCCAAATCTTTTTTTCACAACAGTTTCCCACATATTTTTTACTAGACTGAGATTGAAAAGTTTTGTATTTACACCCTACAAAATTAAAAATACAACAATTACAAAACTATATATTTCTTACCAAGTACAAAATCTACAAACAAATACTTCAACATAAACTTAATTTATATTTTTAATTTAGAAAATAAAAATATTGAAATTGATAAACATACTTTTTTTATGATAACAGTTTCTTTGAGAAAAAGAGATGTGTAAAGAAGTCCAGTTATTGTGAACATTGCACTTAAGGCAAAAGCATAAGTAGATGACTTGCTATATAACATAGGACTTAGTATTGATCCAATAATTGAGCCAAAAGATATAAAAGTTTGCAATACACCTAATCTACAGGTAACAATAAATTATTAAATTACAGTTACGTTGTTATTCACAAGTTAACTACATTTAAATAATATATTTGGCATACTTGACAAACACTTAAAAATTATTAGAATTTAATAGTTATATTTAGTAATCATTTGGGGATTGATTAACATGGATGTATTGTGAGTTTTTTCATTTGCTTATCTGTTCCTGTTTCAAAACTTATTATCTACTTTTCTTTTTGCTATATTTCTTTTTTATTATTATTTACTTATTCAAATTTAATACTTTGTAGAAGTAAAGAGTACAGAACATTTCATGCAAACTTAAATCTAATAGTATATAAAAAAGAAAATTCATAATAAGAAATACTTATAACAATGTTTTTTTAGTTTAGCTAAAGTCAAAACAAAAATTGAAATTAAGTATATCTTTAAAACGTTTCAAAATTGAGTACTCCAGACTATTTGCAATTAAGTTGCTAGAATACTGAGAAATTAGATTTGTACGATAAGTGGCTTCTATTGTATATATTTATTATTTATGTTATGTATTGCAAATGATAACATTTTCAATAATGATAATATTAATTGTACAAAATACAATGCAATTCTACACTTTAGATGTGTTGCATTAAGTGATGCTACTTTAAGAAATACAATCGATTCTGCATAATGGACAACCACTTAATAGGGACAATTCTTTTTTAACTACAAAAACAAATGTATGCTTGTAGAGTAAATGTTCACTGCTTATCTGGATCACAAATCCGGATAATCGGGACATTTTTATCGAGTATCACAATCAATAATACATAAGAAATAAAGTAATATTCATAGTTTTTTTAAATAAGATAAAATATATAATAAAAAAATTAAAAAATATATGTATGTACTTTATAAGTATATATTTTTATAAATAATTAGGTTATAATATCATCTTTTTCTTTTTGTATTATTAAACAATTTCTATAACTGTATGTAATTTTTAATAATAAAAAAAAATAAAAAAAAATCAGTTTATCAACAAATGTATATGTTTGTTTTTGTATTTTGGATTATTGGGACAAAATAACACGCAGCTGATGTGTCAACTGTAAGCGGAATCAACTGTACGTTTAAACTAGCCCTCTAAAAATAGTATTGTTGGAAATTTAAAATAAATGTGCTACACGCTAAAACAGTCTCTCAGAAAAACAAAAATAATTGAATATATTATAATATTTAAAATATTTACAATGTTACGATAAAAAACTGAGTTGAATCAATCGACTTAATGAATGAAAAGTTTGATAGCTTTGGTAAGCAAATGTACTAAATATTACACTTAAAAATATCACCTTTAGATAAATCTATGAATGTTTTTAAACAAAAAGAGATTAAAAATTTTGTTTAAGCCGTGATTAATTCAGAAAGTGAAAATGAAGACAGGGTAAAACCAGTTAAATCAATTGCTGTATCTAGAGGAGTAAATACTTCCATTACAATAACATTCTATGTTTAATCAAACTTCAAACATAAACCTAGAAAAATAGTGACTAAATTTTTATCATTTCAAATCAAGAGATCTATGATTGAAAGAGTTATTTTATTAAAAAAATAAAAATAATAAAGCCTTAATTATTAATAATGAGTGTGCTTTATTTAAGTTACAAATATTTTGTTAATATTAAAAGTGCTAAATGTGAATTACAACATAATAACCTTCTTGCTTTTGCACATGACATATATTTCTTCACGTTAATTCATTAAATGATTGTCTTAAATTTCAAAGAAATTTAAGCAATTTTATAAATTTGGCCAATACACTTATGCTCTTTTAATATTTCCAAATACCACTCTATGATTTATTAGCTATAAAACAAACCACTATACATCATTTTCTGAATTTTTAAATTTAAATTAAATTTCTTATAACAATAAGAATATTAATATTTTGTATTCTAACATTAGGAATATTAGCAGTAGAAAGTAGGCAAGTTACAACCTACAACTCTAACTTTGATAAATTAACTTTATTTTTAGAAAATAATTGAAATATTAAAAAAATTAATCTAATTATATTAAATAAAACTTGGTATAATCTTTTAAGTTCTTTAGTGTATTTTATTAACTATTGACAATAATAAATGTATACTTCCAACCATGAAAAAGGGATCAACATTTTGATAATTTTGCTTTTGTTAAGAATAAGTAATGGTAAACTTTTTTAAATGATCTTGCTATAATTAATATTGTTAAGCTCTACTTTAAAAATCTAGGTTTAACAATAAATAGTTAATAGTTACTTTTATCTGATATTAGTACCCTTACCAATACTTTAAATTAAGTTATATGAAAAAAATAAAAGATAATAACTTTACTGTTCTCATCGGGGACATGAAAATAAATAAAATTGTGGACAATATACTAAATAATATTGATTTATTATCAGAGAATGATTTAACATCATTTATAAACTTATAAACTAGGCTACCAAATGACCAAGATCACTCATGCTTCAATTATATATTAATTCACAATAGTGAATATTTAATTATTTTAGTAAATTCTAGTAAACTACAGACTGATAATACTCATTATTATACTACTTACTTTTTTAATAACTACAGAATGCTTCTTTATATGTAGTAGTTAATTTGTTTTTTGAATTGATCATAGTAAAATTATACAAAATGAAGAAAAATTTACTGAAATGTACAATAGAAATAGCGTGAATGAGCATTATTTTGAATTTCAGAAATTAATATTTAATTGTATAGATAATTCAACAATTTTCATACAAATTTTTTGCTCAAGGAATGGATGACTACTTGTCTGTTACACTCTACGCACAATAAACAGTTTCTATCTTTAAAATGCAAAAAAAAACAAAATAGGAAATTAGTCTTATATTAAAATAATATAAAAATAATTATACACATTTTAATATGCAAAAATAAAATTTAATGGGAATAAATTTAATAGTATTCCCAACAATCTCATAGTACCTAACTACTTATAAATGAAATTACTTGTGTTAAAACAATAGTATATAAAACTTGAGTTATATGATACTAACAATGATGTAAATGGGTATCTAATACTTTCAATGAATTTTTTATCAATATAGGTAAGAAAATAGCTGAAAATTTAGTTTTTTGGCTAAAAATGACATAATATGGTAACAACTCTATAATTCTAAAAAAAAATGTTTATTAAATTTTTTACTAAAAAAAAAATAGAAAACTCAAATGTTATAAACATAGTCAATAGTTTTAAAAACAAGACATAAGCAGATTTTGATAGGATAACAATTAAACTATTAAAGCACATTATTGAACTTATCATAACTCCACTAATACGAAATACATATTTATAACTTGAGCATACAACAACATATCTTTCTAGAAGACCTTAGAGTAGCAATCAAAAACCAAGTTCATAAAGCTAGGAATTGTAAAAATATTAACAATTATAGACCAATATTTTTACTCAATAATTTTGTCAAAATGCTTAAAAAAAAAATAATTAAAATTAGATTAATTTTGTTTCTAGAGAAAAATAATCTCCTATAGTCCTATTGAAAGATCAATTTGGATTTAGGCCAGATATAGGCGCTCAGGATACTCTATTTAATATGCTTAATTTGTTTGTTATGATTGTAGTATTTTTGGACTTAGCCAAGACTTTTTATAAAGTGAACTACAACATTTTATTAGATATTGCCTTACCTAGGTTTCAGTATTAATAATTATATCTTAATTTTATTCAAAAATTACTTGTCAAATAGAAAACAAATGGTAAAAAAAATTATGTTATAAAATTATAAAAGGTTTTTTCAAGTATAGTGTCCCGACAAGGAAGTTTAAGAATTGTTTTGACTTCTATTTTATTTATCTTATATATTAATTTGATCAGTAATTTAATTTGAATGATTCTATAAAGCAACAATGACAATGAATTCGTGATAAAATAATAAATAAATTATGTAATATATGTAATACATGGAAAGATTTAAAATTTAAACACAAAAAATCAAGACCATAGTAAAGTCAAGGTTCCATTAAAAAAGTCAATCAAGATGTGGACTAAAATTTGTCCAATTAATGAGAAAAATTGATCCTTATAAGTTATATCATGGAATAAAATGCAGCCCATATGAAGCAATATTTGAATATAGTACTAAAATTAAATTAAAATCATAGTACTTCTAGTATTAATAATTATTAAATTAAAAACTAAAGAAAATTTAGAGCTGACTAATACATCCATAAATACTGGAAATCATTGTGAAGTTAATAAAACATTGATTAAAGAAAAAATAGATAATATAATAAATAAAATAACTTCTGTAAGAACAGTTAGTTGTAAATTTAAAAATTAAAGTAAATCAAAATATGAAAGAAGCATACAAAAAAGATTTTGCAAGGGAAAAGTTGGTTAACTGTCAACATCAAAATACCTGATGTAGATAGAACTCATAGCAACCTCCGTTGCATTCTTAGGGTTATTCTATCAAGTATAACACAAATTTTACTATAAATTTAAGTAAAATACATATTTAAAATTTTAATATTTTAATTTGTCATTTTAGTTAATGATAATTATAAGATAGGAACCACCAAAAGAAATTTAGAGCATACATATAGTTGTAACCAATTTACTACACGTAAAGAGAAATTGGTAACTGTAGAGGATGTGTCTGATCTAATAATTAGTTAAGAGAAGCAGCGAGAAAATATTCAAATTCAGGAGAACAAAGTTATAATAGATGTAATTGTACTCAACAACGTCCAAATTAAAAATGTGAATGTAAGGTGGGAGGGAAAAAATGAAACTTCAAATGTCATTCTAAAAATAATTTAAAAAATAAATAGTTAATGTGACAATAATTAGTTATGTAATTCTGATCAAAAATGTAATGATAATTGTAAAAATAAATAAATAAGATAATAATATTCAACTAATAAAGTAATTAATAAAATTAGAAGACAAGAAAGGTTAATTTTAAAATAAAAACTTGGTTTACATTCCCAATATAAACTAGGCAATTCTATACAGCCCGTGTAATGTATAATTTTGCTTACATTGTCAATGATAATCAGACAGTACCATAATGTCAAAGCAATGTAAAAATTATCCCAGTCTACTTTGCCCATAACATATATATAAAATTATGATTTGGTAATATATATATATATAATATATATGTATTTTATAGTTTTGTACTTTTGTTATTGAAATATTATAATTAGATAATTTACAATATGTTAATCAAATCTTTAAAAATTTAAATTTTTAATTAAATACATAAAATATGTTACCTGTAAGCTCTGGTTTTGAAATCAGTAATGTCAACAATATAACAAAATGAAGCTATAAACAATGCACCACCACCACCACTTATAGCAATAGGTATACTGCACAGTAAAAACATTACTGGAGGTAGACTAGGAATTGTAGAAAATACACAGTACATACAGTTAGATACTACCATACCTTCAATTTAAAACAACATTATTTCAATTTAAATATACAAGTAAATATTTTTAAGATTGTATCTTACCTGAGATAGCTGCTAAAAATAAAGGCAAACGACCGTTAATATCACTCCATGGACCTAAAAACAATGCAGTTACACAAGGCACCAATGTTTCAATAAGATTTTTAATCATCTGCAAATTTGCCACAGCTGGTTGAACTATTTCTTGTTCTGCTGCAGTCATATTATAACAATTTACAGACTTATTGTTCACAAGATCACTATGGAGGCATACACGTTCTTCAATTAGGTTAGTCTGCACCATTACTAAAATTATAAATAATATATTTAATAGATTTTCTTCAAATAAAACTGGTATTTATCAATATTACTAGATTATTGCAAAGCTGGAAATTAACGAATTAAGAAGTTTATTTATTTTTAACTATTAACATAATTAGTTACTACTAGCTATATTTTTAATTAACAGATTGAATTTTTATCTTAGAAATTCAGTTAATTTATTTTGTTTTCATATTAAAAAATGTTTAGGTAATTTTTAGTGAGTAATTTTTTTAGTTTAAAAAAATTGAGTATTAACTTAAAACTTACCTAACTAAATTAACCAAAAATTAAAACAAAATTTTCTTATTAATACATATTAACTGAATTGAATTTAAAAAAAAAATCATTAACTCGTCCAGTTTTTGATTATTGCATAAATTATACTAAAATTAAGAAGTATAATCTGTAGTAATAATTACATTTTCAACATTAGAGTATACTTGAAGTTAGACAAGGAAGTTCTAATAGATAGCAGATAGCTGATGGATAAAAACCAGATAAGTTATGTTAGGTAAAATACAAAACAAGATTATGAAGAGGATTTCAGCTTAATATTTATTTCCTCTCACACACCAAGGTACAACACAAATACGTAAGTAAAATCAATTTTTGATCCAGTAATCTTAAATTAAAACCTATATATTATGAAAATTAAAGAGGATAATGTTTTTGAGAATTTAATATATCGGTTTTCTAAATAATTATTATTTGATTTAATACTTAACTTTAAAAATAAAAATAAAATTTTGCGAATTTAAAAGGATATTAAGTTTCTTTAAAACAATATTTTAACAAATCCATATACCATATTATTATTAAAAATACTATTCTCTAAAATTTTTACAATAGATAATTTTACTCAAAAAACAAAAAAAAAAAATGATTTTCCAGGAATGTATTTTGTCCATGTTGCACATGCACCAAAGAAAACAAAGAGTAACGCTCAGCTGCTGATATCCTCATAATATAATATTAATGCAAACCTTAAATATTCTTTTTATTTATAACAATAAACATTAAATAACAAAGCACTCACTACTGACATTTATCCCCAGGAGCAATAACATCATAATAGGTTCCAAAGTCAGTCTGAATTTGGTCTTGTCCTCAGGCTCCAAGACTTCCACTGCACCACTGTTTTTCTCTGGCTCCTGGATGCTACCTTCAAAGGTCACTACAGATACACTATCACCATTCTGCAACAATAATCCTAAAGTTAAAAATCAACAATTGCCTGAGAAAATCGAGATTGTGGTGTATACTCACATTCTCCATATTAATGGATGATAGGTCGATCGAAATAGGAACAAAGTTTCTATATATATTTTTACCTCGTCGTCTAGGTATGTTATTCAAGTGATACGATAAATGTAAAATAAATACTGCGTTTTCGATGTCCAAAAACCGTTCTTACGAATTAAGATGAAATATTATATTTTGTATCAATGCGGTAACAACAATATTATTACTTATTTATTAATTATATATTATGATTTATGAGCCTGTTCTAAAGATTAATGTTTACGAACAAAGAATAGACATTGCGTAATATCAATGATGTTATCAAAATACAAATTTCACGCGCATTGTTCTACGGACGACCTACGAGATAACAAAAAGTGCATATCCATTATCCAATATCCACCAACAGACGTATGACTCATGTATGATTCTATATAATTATTGATAACGATTTTGAGTGTTTTGTCGGATTGTATCATACATTTGTCGGTATCAAATATCAATACAAAATAAGTCATAAAAGTCATTAGTAACTACTATTTCCCTACCTACTACTATAGCAATAGGTACTACGTACTATACTACTATTACTATTTTTTTTTTATACGTAATTACATACTTAATTGTTGCCCGATCATATTGCTGTTCTTTGTTATCCGTTCGGTCGACGGGAAGCTGTTGTTCCTCCACACGTTACGATATTCCCTCCATAAACAGTTCGACGGTTCGACCACGTTCCGATAAATTATTATCACTTTACAATCGTCTCTGTCGCCGATTTATACATACCAATTGCCCGTAATTTTATATCCATACTACTTAGTTAGTAGTTGACAAGTTTACGTAAATATTAGATGGTAGTAACTAGCACTTCTACTAGAAAACATAACCGACGTAGTGTCTTAATATTACTATTATACCTATTAAACAATATACAGAACCGGACCTTGGACGAGCAGGACGTTTTATTGCTATTTGATCGTAGATCAGTCGTACCTCCTACATTGTGCGCAAATGCTCAACACTATTCTGTAAATTAATATTATATTGTTCGGGTAATCAAATAAATAATAATTAAATCGTCATAATAATATGATTGATTGTTATTTATTAATACTTATATTATTATTAAATTTTTAGAAAACTGAGCGGTGAGTTGTAAATACACAATGAGACAGTTTAAACTCAAATGTTAAAAGAAATATAATTTAGATGGGTACTTGCACGTGGTTGAAAATGAGCTCTAATATGGCATAGAATTTAATGGTATTATGAGCGCTAACTTTTTAAGTTTAAATAAATTTAGATTAACCTTGCGATTCAAAACTCGTTGAAGACCATCAATATTGATATCATTGGTTTGATCTTATACAGCTATTTGCCACCTTTATATCACATTTTATGGCATTAATATTAATTTTAAATAATACTTAGAAATTGAATAGTAATTTTAAAACATTCATTTTTTGTATATGAAAATATATTTTAGTTTTTTTAAACCTTATTTATAATGGTTAATAAAACAAGTGCTGTCAACTAGACTGTTAGTTATTACTTATTTGTAATAATCGCTGTGTGTACCTAGATCAGTAGATCACATTCACATATTTTAATTATCAATTCTGCAAAATATATTATGCAACATTAGCATGCCATTACAAATTTTATTTCAGAAAAATAAAACTACACAATATCAAATTGGAGTGATCATTCTGGAACCATTTATCCAATCGTCATAACTCATGAGTCTTTTTGAAATTCACATAGCACATTGCAATCATTGCATTGAGGATGCCACACCCACATGTGTTGCTCTGTCTTACAAACGTACAATATAGGTATAGTAAATTTTACGTTCATAATAATCCATTTTGTTTTGTTGTTTTTAAAATTTAAGTGAATTGACGTATTGTACAATTTAAAGGTATGATTTTTATTGTTATCTTAATTTTGAAACATTTCATGATTATTAAAATATTTACAAACACTTTACAGTATTTTATCATAATATACTTATAACTTAGGTAATTCATAATTATAATATTAATTTAAACCTCTAGATACCTACTCTAAATAATAAACTTACCTTTAATTTTTTTTTTAATAGGTTAAAAACATTAGTTTTTTAAAAAATACATAAAATAAATTATTGTGAATGGAAAATATGCAATATTCTACGTTTGAGAGATGAAGACAACACCACTGTGAGTGTGACGCCTTCTTAATCATAATTTTGTAGAACCATTAAAGAGCGGAATGGACAGATATGGAGATACCCCACAAAATATTGGTTTACTTAAACTTTTAATACTAATAACAGTAATAACTCATAAATTACTCAGCCGCATTTCAATTTTTATGTAATGAAATACTTCGAAAAATATTTTATTTCAGTATAATATGAAATTAAAAATGAAAAAAATAAGTAACTTAAAAAATTATAAAAAAAAATTACAAGAAATTAAGTAATAAAATTTTAAGATAACAAATATAATTCAATAAATGAACCACTCAGTATTATATAATGTCATAATAAGTTATAATCTATAAACAAACATTTTTGTACTCATAGTAAATAGAAACTTAATTTAATTTATTACAGTGATTATCGATTAGGCATTAATTAATAATTATCAGGTTATGCAATAATATGCTGATAGTTAATAGGTATGGTACCTACTATTAAAGCAATTAAAACGGTAAATGAACATTTATCATTTGACTGTTTTTTGAGTACTAGAATATTTTTTTTCGATACATTTTTATACGGACAATTTGTTCCTATATTTTTCAACAGTTATATTATTTATTATTTAATGTACATTTTTTTTTATCTAATGTAAAATTTTGTCTAAAAACAGAAAATCAAATATTTCGATAATTATAATATATATGTTTATTTTTGATTATTGTTTATAAACAATGATAAAAAGTACTATATTAAAATAATAAGTAATGTTTAATACACGGGTATGTTTGTGCTGCATTATTTATCAAATGAATATTGTAATGAATTATACTTTGATAGAACATAAGTCAATGGAATCAATAAGAAAATTATATTATGAGTAAATAGTTTGGATTATAACCATCTTCACTAAAATGTTTTCCTTATTTATGAAATATACATAATACTATAAAAAAAAACAGGTATAACAAATAATATGAGTAGTTTCAATAATAAATTTAAAAGTTTCATCAGAACTCAGCATCCAAATGTTTGAGTGTTTATTGAAGCACTCTAGAGATCAAATTCACTATTAATCATTAAATTAATAAACAAACAGATTTTAGAAAAAAAAAAACTTAAACAAAGATTTAAAAATATGTGTTTAGAAATAACAGAAGAATTATAAGTCAGATTTTTTTTTTTTTAACAAAATGTATTATATTATTATGTATAATAAATATTAATAATACTTGTTTTGAATATTACTTATTATTTTAATAGTAATTGTTATTATTTCAAGTAGAAATAAATAATTATTAAATAAGTACTTATATTATATCTATAATTTATTATATTTATGAAAATGTTTAAAAATGTATTCTTTTTTTAGAAAAAATAGGCACAGGACAAAAAAAAATAATAATTTCATATTAAATAATAAACTTTTTTGAAGAAAAAAATGTACAAATCTATTATTACTTTAAAGTTGAAATATATTACTTAGTACTTACATTATTATCATTGTATTTTTTTTACCTGCCTATTATTATTATATATATAAGTAGACATAAATGACGTATATTGTTTAATATATTTGTAGTATATACATATTATATACATTATACACAATATGCCTAAATTTATTTAATAGTTAATAAGTCTAAGAGTTACAAATACTGCCGATCATAGATACAAGTACTTATCTTTTATAATTAGGTAGTCATACCTATATACAAAGGCAATAGACATAGGTATATAATAAAAATATTTATAATTATCTAGGTAATAGAGTATTATTATTGAGGTATATAAAGTGGAGTATAGGCATCCGACATTATAAATAATTATCATAGTTATTATTGTATAAGTAAAAACAGACAACAGTAAAACATTAACAACTTTATTTGAATTTATATTTACTGAAGGAAATTAGAAATTTTGTTTGTTTACCTGTAACTTGCTATCATAATAAGTTCAATAATTCAGGCTAATTTGTTTCTAGATCTTTTATGATCTTCAAACAGATTTTAATTCACCGTAAAATTCACATTTTTGTTTTTAACCCAGAAATTTTCACAAAAATCAATTGAAAATATTATTGTTAAGTAACAACTGGTTTTACAGTAATAAAATAAAAAACTCAAAAATCTCGAGCGGATTTCACGAACGCTGAGTTTAATTCTGTTTTAAAAACCGCTTTACTGTATTGCTCTATTGATTGTATTGTTAAAATGAAGTTCGTTACAAATTGTGTGTAGGTACCTATCATTTGTATATATACGTCTATATGTCTAAGTAGTAAACTATTGTACCACAGGCATATAATAGACAAACAGAAAATTAACACTTCTCATCGATTGGAGTTTAAAAAAAAATATATTTGACCTCAAAGTGAGCGAATCACTTGGATATGAAAGGTTATTAATGTTATTATATTGTGAGAATAAGAATATACAGTACGTCCAGAAAGTAAGTTCCGTTGGGCAATAAAAACATGTAAATGTGTAAATTTTATTATAAATTTTATTTGAATATAAAATACATGTATTACTCTATTTTTCAACATAGTTACCACCATTATTTAAGCACTTATCATATCGAGGTACTAGTTTTTGTATCCCTTCATCATAGAAAGATGACGCCTGTGATTGTAACCATGCGCTAATAGCCTTTTTCACCTCATCATCATCGTTGAAGTTCTGGCCACCCATAAATGATTTCACGTGTAAAAAAAAATGAAAATCACTGGGTGCCAAATCTGGACTGTAGGGCGGATGATTAAATTGTTCCCATGCAAAATCTGCAAGAAGTTGTTTTGTCACATTTGCTGTGTGCGGGCGGGCATTGTCGTGCATGGGAACAATTTAATCATCCGCCCTACAGTCCAGATTTGGCACCCAGTGATTTTCATCTTTTTTTACACATGAAATCATTTATGGGTGGCCAGAACTTCAACGAAGATGATGAGGTGAAAAAGGCTATTAGCGCATGGTTACAATCACAGGCGTCATCTTTCTATGATGAAGGGATACAAAAACTAGTACCTCGATATGATAAGTGCTTAAATAATGGTGGTAACTATGTTGAAAAATAGAGTAATACATGTATTTTATATTCAAATAAAATTTATAAATAAATTTACACATTTACATGTTTTTATTGCCCAACGGAACTTACTTTCTGGACATACCTCTATAATGAATAAAATTCAACTTAATATTTTTAAAATTAATTTTATAATTTTTCAAGAGTTATATTAAAACGCGATTTAATATAT